CCTGACCCAAGCCATGGTATTTTCAATAACATCATATGGATGCGAAAGCTGAACAGTGAATAAGGAAGATCATAGAAGTGATGCCTTTGAATTATGGTGTTGGAGGAGAATACTAAAAGTGCCAAAAGAACCAGTAGATCTGTTTTTCAAGAAGTGTAGCCAGAGTGCTCCTTAGAGGCCAAGACGGCCAAACTTTGTCTCTCATACTTTGGACATATTGTCAGGAGGGAACAGTTGCTGGAGACAGATATCATGCTTGGTAAGATGGAGGGTCAGAGAAAAAGAGGAAGACCCCCCCCCCCAACAAGATGGATTGGCCAGGTGAAATCATTGATGGCATCAAATGTGGCAGCGGTAGTGAGGTTGGTCCAGGATCGGACATTGTTTCGTTCTGCTGTGCTTGGGTCGCTATGAATCGATTCCAACTCGATGGCACCTGACAACAACAACAACAATGGCAGTGAGTGAGTGAGTGACCCTGATCTTCTTTCCTAGGATTGTTTCCTGACCCTTATGTCAGTCAACCTTAATGAAATCCGAAAACTAGATGTGTACTATTGTAAATAGTCTAACTATTAACTAAAGGTGGTTGGTGCTTTTAATGGTGACTGGTAGTTTTTTTTGTTTTGTTTTAAGAACTCATGATGTTTTTAATACACTAGTGTTTTTCATCATTCATGTAGTCTCTATGATGTAATTATTTCCACATTAGTGAAATGTCTCAAGTCAATTTGGGACATGAAATTAATATAGCACATTACTATGAGGAAACTATTTTTGTGTGCATCAACAGCCACCTTTCTGTAGTGAAATTCATTGTATACTTTCAATTGTTACTATTCTTGACTTCTTTATAACATTTTCCTCTCTGTTGATCATTTCTTTCTTAAAATACATTCTTCTCTTAACCTTTTCCAGTTACCGTAACGTATTTGACTTTTCCTTTTGCTTAGTTCATCTTTCTTGATTCATCTTCAGTTGCTTTTCCCACTCAACAAACTCTTTGTGGTATCATTCCCATGAATTTGATTACTATCTAACTATCTTTCTCTCTACCCAGCTCTACCTTTTTGAGCCATGGATTCATAACCTTTTATTTATATATTCATTCAATAAATATTTTTGAGACCATGTGGGGTACCTGATAATGTTCAAGGTTATTGAGCTATGGAGCTGAATAAGACATTTCATTTTCTTGAAGGAGCACAGACAGTAAATAAACAGAGAAGAACGTATTACTATGAAGGAAAAGAGAATGACAGTGAGATTTTGGAACGGGGTATAGGTGAAGGAACAGGGAGCTACTTGGACAATGTAGTCAGGGAAGGCTTTTTCTGGCAGAGGGAGAGGTGCTTTTTTCCTCAACCCAAATAAAATTTTCAATGTTTAATTGGGTATGCACAGGGGTTTGGCATAGGATTGGATTCATTAAGCCTTCATGCAGAATCACATTCTCAATAAAGAAGTCAGTTCCATTCAGGATCCACGATCTACACATCTATTTTTCATTTATATCAAATCTAGTATGTGAAGAAATGATACGCATGTTTTACTGAAAGAATAAAAGTACAGGTCACACCAAACTCAAAACTATATTAAAAGTTTCAATATAAAATTCAGTGATCCATCTAGAATGACTAGGCAATAGAAGTTCTATATCCACCTATCTTAAAACTGGTAAGTTTAAAAAAATTTGTTACCAGTAAAACACATTCATTTATTCATTGTACATTATCTGGGAGATGATGCTTTGAATTAGTAGTGGACATCTAAAATAGTTCTTAACCCCCATTGTGGATGTGAATAATCTTAAAAATATTTACACTTAGGCTCTCACCTACAAATAGTCATTTAATTACTCTGGGATGGTGGTAAGATAAGTGTTTTTCAAAAGTTTCCACAAACTGTGATGTTAATGAATAGCAAGGGTTGACAACCACAGAGAATCCCATGGATTGGGGAAAGGTACTATTCAAGATCTCACTCCCTCATGAAGTTGTAAACTTTATGATAATAATAATGTATGTTACATTATCTTTCAAAACACAATTTTTATACCTGCAGTTTAGTATAGTACTGATCCTCATAGTTTACTAATTTTCTTTTCTAATTTGTTCCATTCATATAGAACTTAATGCATGTCCAAAACAGATCAATGTTTCTCTTATCTCTCACACAACAAAACAAAACACTGCCCAGTCCTATGCCATCCTCACAATTATTCCCATGCTTATTTGTTTGCCCATTGTGGCAGCCACTGTATTAATCCATCTTCTTGAGGGTCTTCCTCTATTTTTGCTGGCCCTCTACTTTACCAAGCATCATGTCTTTCTCCAGGGATTGGATTCTCCTTGATAACATATTCAAAGTACATGAAACAAAGTCTTCCCATCCTTACTTCTAAGGAGCATTCTATCCGTACTTTTTCTTACACAGATTTGTTTGTTCCTCCAACAGTCCATGGTATATTTCATATTTGTTACCAATACCACAATTCAAAGGCATCGTATCTTCTTCAGTCTTCCATATTCATTGCCCAGCTTTTAAATGCTTATGAAGCAATAGAAAACCCCATGGCTTAGATCAGGCACACCTTGGTCTTCAGTGTTCTACTTCTAGATATTGTTAGGGTTTTCACTCTTCTCTCTACCATTGTTTCCTCCATACTCTTTAATCTTTCTGTGGCCAGCATTCAGTCATCTCCAGTCTTAGCTATTCTTTCTCTAGGTGCTTCACCACCATCCATTGTCTACAGTCTCCAGAGTTCTTTGCAGAGTTCAAATCTAATCAAATTACTTAACTTGCTTAAAATCTTTTACTGACCCTTCTTTACCTCAGAATAAAGTCCAATTCCTTTGACTTCATCTAGGTCTTAAGTACTTCTCCATTCTTTATAGTCACTCTTCACTCCCTCTCTTATATTATAGGCTTCAACCAAATTGAACTACTTACAGTTGCTGAATATATTTCATTTTATGTTGCTTCTAACTTCTAGTAAAGAGAGTTTTCTCTGTTTAGAATAATATTTCTTATTCCTTTCAGCTCCCACCACCTCCTGCCTTTTCTTGTGGTATATGCTGTTCCAAACTAGACCCAGTGCCTTTGATTGATTCTGACTCTTAGGAACTCTGCAGGACATAGCAGAACTGCCCCCATAAATTTTCCAAGACTGTTGTCATGATTTGAGTTGTGCCCCTCCAAATATGTGCCAGGTTGACTGGAACATGCTTCTCAGTGGTTTGACAGTATATGATGATCCACCATGATGTGGTTTGATGTGGTAAATCAATAAGAGGATTAAAGGTGGCATGTTGTTGTTGTTAAGTGCCATTGAGTCGCCCATCACAACCCTAATCTAATGCAGGAGAGATTCCCAAAAGTGTGTGTGATATGCAATACCTTTTATCTTGTTTTTAAGTGACAGAAAGTTGGTTCTGACTCATAGCAACCTTGTGTAGAGTAGTAGCTGGTGGGTTTGAACTTCAGACCTTGTGGCTAGCAGTGCAGTGTTTTTCCTATAGCACCACACTGAGAGATAAAAGGAGAGAGATGTGAGCAGAGAAAAAGGGACCTACTTCCACCCATATAGAAGAGCCAGGAGTGGAGTGTGTCCTGTGGATCTGAGGTCCCTGCAAAGTAAAACGCTTGGATCCAGGGAAAAATTGATACCAAACCACAGGGAGATCTCCAAGGAATGGAGGGCTACAGATGCTGAAATGAGGCAAGGACCTTTTCGCAGAGCTGGTACTCTGAATTTGAACTTCTTGCCTCCCAAACGTTTTTGTTGTTGTTGTTGTTGTTAGAAAATAATTTTCTGTTTGTTAAGGCTATCCACTTGTGGCATTTTTGTTATGGATATAACTAACATAGAATTTATTAGGAATGGTGTGCTGCTCCAATAGATACCTAAAATGTGGAAGTGGTTTTGGAATTGGATAATGAGCAGAGATTGGAAGAGTAACTTAGTTGCCTAAGAAGAAAAGCCTAGATTGCTTAGAAGAAACTGTTGGTAGAATTATGGATGCTACAGGTATTCCTGGTGAGGGACTCAGCAGGCAATGAGGAGAGGTACAACACTGGAAAAGGCACAGATGGTGAGAAGGAGTGGCATAGAACTGCATCAGCAGAACCTTCAGACTGATACAAGACGGCATAAAAGCAGATCCATGGAGCAAGAGAACAAGTGCCTTCATGTAGTAGGCTTCTTGGTAGAGTGGAGTGCCACTGGGCACTTATCAGTAGAACTAAAGAGCTTTGTAAAGCCTGCTCAAGAAGAGTAGAAACCAGGCTGACCACTTCTAAAGATAAAGGAGCACGGGAAAGAGAGTTGCCTCCATCTCAAAACGTAGGGTCATGAACTCTGGGCTCTCAAAGAGTGGAAACTTTGGAGTTTCTAAGAGTAGGGAAACAGTTTCTTAAGTTGTATAGAGTCGGCTTCTTCACCAACTCAATTCTGGAGTAGTAGTCTCCTGTTACAGGAGACAAGGATCTTTCCCCAGAGCTGGCACTCTGAATTCAGACTTCTAGCTTCCCAGACTGTGATAGACTCAATATATGTTTGTTAAGGCCATCCACTTGTGGTGTACATGTTATTGTAGTACTAGGTAATCAAGATAGCTGTAAATCTTAACAGAAACAGACAGCTACATCTTTCTACTACCAAGTAACTGATGGGTTCAAGCTGTCAATCTTTCCATTAACAGCAGAGCTCTTTAACCACTGTACCACTAGGGCTTCTTTGTATAAGTTGTCACATCTGGTAAACATTTCATGACACATGAAGCATTAGATTGTTGACTCTACCAATGCTTACTCCTGTCTTAGCACTTTAGCACAACTATATTATTTTTACTATTTTATTATAGTATCTAGCTGGTGTTAAAAGTAAATAGGCACAAATTAGTGACTTTATTCTTTAGGATTTATAAATAAGTAGCATAAATGAAAAGAAGTATTTATTATATATATACTTCTAACATAACTTAACTTTTTTATAGAAGAACTATGCCATTTTTGGGTCAGGACTGGAGATCGCCTGGATGGAGTTGGATTAAAACAGAAGATGGCTGGAAAAGATGTGAATCCTGTAATCAGGAACTTGAAAGAGAGAATCAGTATAACATCAATCACAACATGTAAGTTACAGCTAAGCAGCTCCACATCATTTGCCAGCTTAATGTTTATGGTTTCATCTATTTTTCAAGTTACTGCAGAACTCCGTAACTTGTAATTTTGATGAGAATTGCCCACACACATGACTGGTGTTAGGAAACAAATTATTTAGCTAGGGAATTAGTTTAGTGGGTTGTCTAATACCCACACAGATACAGGTTCCTTCTTTTTATTTAAAATGTTTAATCTTTACAATAATTTGTGAGATAGGTATGATTATGATTAGCCCCACATTATAGCAGAGAAGTCTGAGGAAAATTAAAGGGTATAGATTTGGTGGCATATATCAGAAACTCACAATAAGATATAATGTGGCTTACATAATACAAAAATATGTTTTTCTCTCTCAAAAGCCTAAGCTGCTATAGCGATTTTGCTCTGTAAAAATGTAAGGGAATCTAGTAATCTTCTGTCTTGTTACTCTGACATCCCAAGTGGTCTAGGATAGTTTATTACCTCATTTGCATTTCAGTTGGCACGATAGAAGAAGAGGACATGCCCTTGTTCTTTTGGGAACATCTCAAAAGTTGCAAATATCATGTCTGCTTGAGGACTAGATGAAAGGGAGCCTGGGGAATGTATTTTGTCTTCTGTGTAACCATATGTCCAGATAAAAATTGTCATTGTTGTTAAATGCTGTCTACTAAGTTCTGACTCATAGCAACTCTATGTAGGGGTTTCCAAGGAGCGGCTGGTGAATTTGAACTGCCAACCTCATGGTTAAAACTGACAATTGGTCCCATGCATTATCTCACAGCACCACACCAGGATTCCATATAAAAAAATTGGAGGTTGTATTAACACAGAAACAGAGTTGTTGTTATTGTTGTTATGTGCCGTGGCATAGGTTCTGACTCATAGTGACCCTGTACAGGGTTTCTGAGGCTGTAAATCTTTACGGGAGCAGACAGCTTCATCTTTCTCCCACAGAACAGCTGGTAGTTTTGAACTGCTGACCTTGTGGTTCACAGCCCGATTCGTAACCACTACGCTACCAGAGCTCCTTCAGAAACAGAGTAGAGAGACTGTTATGTGAGAATTAGTCATTTCTGCCACAGTGGTATTTGTTCATTTGGAATATGAGGAAGATCTGGAGACCTCTTTCTCTAGAGTGTTTTGGGTCTAGTAATTGATTTTAGTACAATTTTTATTTGACAGTTATATATTCATCAACTAAAGATTTTTCTGTTAAAAGTTTAGTAGCTTTATAATAGAACATAGTTTTTGCAGAATTTGAAGCAGAAATTTTATGTTTCAGATTATAATGAAAATAACATATAATATTTGTTAAACTTATATTGTACCGTTTCTCTACCATTCTAGTTTTATTTATATATTGATGACAGTAGATTAAGTTAAGAATTATAAGTACATGGAGCTCGGTAGCGTAGTGGTTATGAATTGGGCTGCGAACTGCAAGGTCAGCAGTTTGAAACTACCAGCTGTTCTGTGGGAGAAAGATGAGGCTTTCTGTTCCTGTAAAGATTTACAGCCTCAGAAACCCTGTACAGGGTCAATATGAGTAGAAACCGACTCCATGGCACACCACCAACCAACCAGTCAATGTTATTGGTATTGAATGAGATCATTCATCTTGCAGTTATGAATTTTCAGGGTTATTTTTATAGCAAATTATTTAAATTGAAAATTGGTTGTTAAATCTAGAAATGTTTAGAATCCAGATTTCCCCCAATATTCACTTTTAAGTGTGGAGATTCCTCAAGTTGCCATTTTAAGATGTGTAAATGAGTTATAAATTATTAGTTAAAAAATTAAATGCTTAAAATACATTATTACTGTTATTTCTAAATTAAGAATTTTCATTATATTCCTGGTTTTTTACTAGTGTGTTCTTTATTTCCTCATCCCAAGCACATTTTAAGTACTTTAATTAATTTATTCCTATATACACACACGGAGCTCTGGTAGTATAGTGGTTATGAATCGGGCAGCGAACCTTAAGGTCAGCAGTTGGAAACTACCAGCCACTCCATGGGAGAAAAATGAGGGTTTCTGCTCCCGTAGAGAATTACAGCCTTGGAAACCCTGTAGAGGGTCACTATGAGCCAGAACTGACTCAATGGCACTTAACAACAACAACAACATATACACACACATAGCAGGGCCTCCTGGTGTGGCGCTGTGGGTTAATGTGCCAGACTGCAAAGCCGTTTGAACTGCAAGGTCGGTGGTTCAAACTCACCAGCTGCTCCTTGGAAACCCTATACAGGGTCGCTATGGGTCGGAATCGACTCAGCAGCACTCAACAACAACAAATATACACATAGAATTTGAAAACACGGTCAATAGTGTTTTCTTTACATCATATATTTTATGTCATGATGTCTACCTTACACTGCTCAAACACACCCACTCTCCTACCCCATTCAAGCTTATTAATCAGTCCTTTGAAACACTAAATATTGCTAGCAGAAGCTTTTATACACAAGATGTAAAAGGTCTAAATATTCTTACTAAGACAAAGATTTCGTTACAGCAATTGTGGTCTATCTGTCAATTGGCAAAGTCAAAGGAGAATTAGTGAATATTCACTTTTTTCACTACATCCAAATCTAGATTTCTTCTTTCTCACTCTTCCTCTGTCTTCCTTCTACTTGTGCCCATTCATATTAAAACATGTGGGGAGAGGCCATTGGTGAACCAGAAATGTAACAAACATATGTCTGATCCTTTCTTCTTATCCAGAAAGAAAAATCGATTTCACTTTGATCTAAAATATTGATAAAGAATATACAACTATTTGGAACCACTGTTTTAATCACTATATAAAATTGGTTTGTTGTTGTTAAGTACCGTGGAGTCAGTTCTGACTCATAGTGACCCTGCACAGGGTTTCTGAGGCTGCAAATCTTTTGGGGAGCAGAAAGCCTCACCATCCTCCCGCGGAACAGCTGATAGTTTGGAACTGACGACCTTCAGGTTAGCAGCCCAATTAGTAACCACTACGCTACCAGAGCTCCTTATATATAAAATTGGTATCTTCCACTAAATGTCTTTGAGAAGCATAATATTCTGAGTCTTTGATTTAGAATGAACTTTCTAGAAACTTGCAAAACAAATTCCTGTAGTAAAAAATTGTAGGTGACCAATATATAACTAACTTTGTTAATTTTATTTTTTTAAATGGACATGAAGGTAGTAGACCTTTAAATATTTCCCTGCTTATTTTTCACGTATTTTAGCAGTGAAGATTTAAAAGGGAATAGGCATGAAATAATGCAACTCAACATGCTTGATTTAAGAGCAACCTTTTCATCCTTCGAATCCTGATTAAGCTGCTCTTCTAAACAACATTCCTGATTTATTGAAGCTGATGATGGCATAAATACTAAACCTTAATTTGAATGGTTAATTCTTTATTTAGAAGGTATCATATGTATTAGAATTTCAGAGCAGTTTACTCTAAGAGCACTGTTTGAGATACAAAGGATTAATCTTTAACTCCATTAAGGAAGCATTTTTGTAAAATTATTATACTAGAATAGAAGGTAGATTGGATGGTGTGCAGATTGAAATGGGGAAAACCAAATCAGGATTCTGGTGTATCAAGTGAGAAAAGATAAATATTTGCCTAAATCAAATCAATGCAGTTGGACTGGTAATGTGATCAGAAAGATAATAAATAATGAATTGCTATGGCAAAAGAGAAGTTGTGTGAATATCTGAAGTTTTGGCTTGGTGAAGGTGGTATGTCCAGTTTGTGTTTGATAACTTAGAAATTATATGTTTTTAAATGCAAGATGGGAATGCAGTGGCTTCATAAAATAAGCTCTGGAACTCAAACCACAGGTTCCGTGGTCCTAGTCTACCAGCTGCTCTACAGGAGCAAGATCTTTCTGTTCCCGCAAAAGATTTAAAGCCTCCGAAACTCTGTATAGGGTAGATATAAGTTGAAAGTGATTCCATGGCACGTAACAGCAACAACACTGAAGAATAATGTCTAGAAACTATGTATCTTTAAGAATTAGAAACTTTTCCAAATCAGGTTTAATTATTAGCAATTGTAGCTACAGTGTATGATGTACAAAGAATTTACTCATCTTTCCATGATGTTGACATTTAATAAAGAAATTTATAGTCAAACCTTTACTCTTCAACACTTTAAAAAGGTCTTGTGCAGCAGATTTGCCTAATGCAATATGCCATTTGATTTCTTGACTGCTGCTTCCACGAGAGTTGATCCAAGTGTTGAAGAGCAAAGATGTCAGCTTGAGGACTAAGGTGCACATAACCCAAGCCATGGTATTTTCGGTAACCTCATAAACGTGCGAAAGCTGGACAGTGAATAAGGAAGACCGTAGAAGAATTGATGCTTTTGAGTTACAGTGTTGGAGGAGAATATTGAAAGTGCCATGGGCTG